CCTCAAACATTTCTGCCATTTAAAAAAGACTTTGAGGGCTTTCCCCTTGCCTTTTTTGTTCTTTATAGCTAATTTTCATCCAGTTATTCCTACTCTGTGCTTTTTAGAATATCAGACATTTTGAAACAACCTAAATATCCAACCATTGGAAGGTAACAGAAGCCTACAGATAGCTCTAACAATAAGGAATTGTTTAAACACGTTGTAAAGGATTATAAATGTATGTATATAATGCACAAATGTTATATGCAGTGACTTTATAGAACCTGATTTTGAGCAATTTGCAACATTTATAAAGCCACAAAAACATTGGCAAACAAGATCGGCTATAATTAATTAAAGATGAATTAGAAAAAAATTCCAAAATTCTAGATCTTTTTTGCATTATTTCTTTTGTAGTTTTATTTATTTCCTTTCATTACAAAAGCAATTCAAATTACGACAGAAAAATAAGAAAAGGCGGACAACTACACACACACAGACACATACACACAGACATAACCTATAATTTTTCTACTCAATGACAACTACTAGATCTTCTAGTAAAAACGGAATCATATGATGCATATATTTGAAAGCAACCCTATTTTATTTATGCAATCCTCCACTGTTGGACATTTAGGTTGATTTCAACAAATCCCATATTTTGTACGTTTAAGTTTTTATCACTTTTTTTGCTATCAGTAGCAGCACAAAGCAATAATGAGATAAAAATGACTTGGAAAAAAAAAAGGTTTTAGCAAAACTTCCCAGATTCTGAAAAATCGTTTAAAAAATGTTTAAAGACGTAAGTTTTACAACCACCCCCAAGCACTACACTAGCACCCTGCACAACAAAACCCAAACTGATGAGCAGGGATATTCATCTTCAAACAAATCATTGCCCTTTCCAGCTGCTTTGGGCAAATCATCTGCAGCCTTTCAGGTTACGAGGATCTTTAAGAAGCAAATGACCTCCTAGCCGAGATGATGGGTTTCAACTTGCTGTGTCTGTTAGCGCTGAAAACTAACAGGAACAGATCTGAGACTATTATTTACCCAGCTAGTTGTAAGGAATGAGCTGCCCTGTATAATTCCTGACCAGGATCATACTGCCAAGTAGCAAATCTAATCATCCGTATCCACTTCTAAGCTCACTTAAAAACATCAGGCACCCTCTGTTCTGTTAGCTTTTTGTCCATCTTTACACCAATACCACACTGTCCTGATTACTGTAACCTTCTAACTCTCAATATCAGAAGTGTTGATCCTCCAGCTCAGTTGTGTTTCAAAGTTGTTTTGGCTATACTAGGTCTTTTGCATCTCCGTGTGGATTTTGGAACCAGTTTGTCAATTTCTATAAGAAAGCCTGCTGGGATTTTGATTTGGGGAGGATTGACAGCTTAACAATATTGATCTGTCCAATGCATGAACATGATATACCTCCGTTTATTTAGATCTCCTTTAATTTCTCTCAGCAGCGGTTTGTGGTTTTCAGTGTACAGGTCTTCCTCATTTTTGTCAGATTTATCCCTACGTATTTCATACTTTTTGATGCTATTGCCAGTGATATTGCTTTTTAAAAAAATTTCAGTTTCCAATTGGTCAGTGCTAATGTCTAGCAATATAATTGATTTTCACGTACGGATGTTTTGTCTACAGCAGCCAGCACATGTATAAACAGCTGATGCTCAAAATAGGTGTAAGAGCAATTCAGCAGAGATATCTTTCCAACAAATGGTGCCAGAATGACTGGATATCCACATGCAATAAAACCCAAAACCAAACCAATACAAAACCTTCAAGCCATACTTCACATTATATGAAAACTTAATTCAAAATGAATCACAGACATCAATGTAAAACCTAAGCTATAAAACTTCTAGAAGTAAACATAGAAGAAAACCTTTGTAACCTTGACTTAAGCAAAGGTTTCTTAGATATGGCACTGAAAGCACAGTATATAAAAGAAAAAATTAATAAGCTGAACTTCATCCAAATTAAAAATTTCTGGGTTTCCCTGGTGGTGCAGTGGTTAAGAATCCACCTGCCAATGCAGGGGACATGGGACATTCAATCCCTGGTCTGGGAAGATCCCACGTGCCACGAAGCAACGAAGCCTGTGCACCACAACTACTGAGCCTGTGCTCTAGAGCCCATGAGCCACAGCTACTGAGCCCACGTGCCACAACTACTGAAGCCCACGTGCCTAGAGCCTGTGCTCTGCAATGAGAAGCCACCGCAGTGAGAAGCCCGAGCACTGCAAGGAAGGGTAGAGCCCGTGAGCCACAGCTAGAGAAAACCCATGCACAGCAATGAAGACCCAACACAGCCAAAATTAAATAAAATAAATAAATTTATATTAAAAAAATTTCTGCTTTTCGTTAGACGCTTGTGAGAATGAAAAGACAAGCCACAGACTCTGAAAAAATATTTGCAAATCATATATCTGATAAAGGACTTGTATCCAGAATATAGAAAGAACTCTCAAAACTCAATTCAATAACTCATTTTTTTTTAAAAGGGCAGAATATTTAACTAGACACTTTACCAAAAGAAGATATATTGATGGAAAATAAGCACAAGAAGAGACGCTCGATATCATTCATTATTTGGAAAATGCAAATTAAAACTGAGAGACCACTACACATCTATTAGAATGGAACGATTAAAAAGACAGACTGAAAAAAAAAAAAGACAGACTGGCCACACGCACACACACACACACACACACACACACACACACACACACACACACACAGGTTTTTTTTGGTAACTGTGAGATGATGATGAATGTGTTAACTAATCTTATTGTAGTAATCATTTCACAATATGCACATATATCAAATCATCATGTTGTACACCTTAAACTTACACAATATTATATACCAATTACATATATCTCAATAAAGGTGTAAAAAAATTAAAAATTTTAAAAGTTAAACAACAAAAAAAGACTGGCCATACCAAGTGCTGACAAGGATGTGGAGGAAGTGGAACTCTCACCCACCGCTGGTGGGAGTGTAAATGAGTACAATTACTTCGGGAAATAATTTGGCTGTTTCTTTAAAAATTAAACATACACATGTCACGTGGTCCAGCCATTTCCTCTGCCCAAGAGAAACAAAAACCTCTGTCCACATAAAAACCTATATGTGAATGTTCATAACAGCTTGATATGTGATAGTCAAAAACCGGAGACAACCCCAAAAATGTCCACTATCAAGTGAATGGATTAAAAATCCACTTGATAGCAATATCCATGCAGTAGAACAGTGCTAGTAATAAAGAAGAATGGGCTGTTGATACAAGTTACAAGGCTGGAGAATTCTCTGAATAATTACTATAAGTGAAAGGAGCCAAACAAGAAAGAGTACAAACTGCATGATTCCGTTTATATAAAATTCTAGAAAATGCAACAAATCAATAGTGACAGAAAGCAGATCTTTGTTGCCTGGGGGACAGGGCTGGGAGGTCAGGATAAACGCAAGATGTAAGGAAGCTTTTGATAGTGATGGTCATGTTTACTCTCTTGACCGTGGTGATGGTTTCGTGACTATACATTTACCTCTGAACTTGTCAAATTGTGCCTTTAAATGTATACTGTTTATTATCTGTCAGTTTTACCCCCGAGAGAACTGTTTAAGAAAAACTAAGAAACACCGGGAGCCAAAAGACGGCAGCAATGCCTTTGTGGGGTCAGAGAGCTATGCTGGTTGATGAGCTTTAGAGAGCTTGCCTGCAGTGTCATCTGCATTTGTAAGCAGACGGCTCATCTTTGCCGGGTTCTGACTAAAGCTGAATTTCACTTTCACATTGTCCAGTCGAGTTGCCCCAGTGCTCTGGCTGTGCCCCACATCTCCCCAGGGGTCGTGTGGGACACTGGCTAGCCAACTGACTCCGTCACCAACATAACTCAGATTCTCAGAAGTTGGGGGAAATGCAAACATAGTCTCAGGAAAATTAAACTTTAGGAAAGCCTTCAGAGCTATGGGTTCACAGCAGGCTAGCCAGCCACAACTGTGGATGGACGCCTCTGATGGAGTAATGGGTAGACTGGCCCGACTGGAGGTAAGTTATTAGGAGTGTTGCCTTAAACATACACACACACACACAGATCATGGGATTACTATCTCCTGGAGAGTCCATGGTTGGTCTTTGGGGTCCCAAACCCCAAAATTATATGCAAGTTTTGGAAGTATGTGCATTCATGTATTTTTCAGAGGAGAGAGTTCGTAGCTTTCATCAGACCCTCAAAGAGCTCCGTGACTGTAACAAGATTAAGGCGCGCCAACGTGGGTAAAGCCAGACCCATCTCTCCTTTCTCCTCCCTCTTGTCTAGCTCTCGGGACGAAAATCTACAACCTATAGGACACTCGTTCGAGTCTAACCGGGAAATGACATCTGTGCGACCTAAAGTTCTTCCCGAACACACCCAGCCATCCTCAACTTCGTTCTTCCCCGTTTGCCTGGTCCCGCGTACTCCGGGGCGCGCCCCCCACCCCGTGCACTCTCTGGGTTTCCTAGTGCTGAAGAATTTGGAGCTGTTGCCAGGTCCCCCAGGTGTGCAACCTGCCCGACACGTTTTCACTCCTCCGGGACGCACGCAGTCCGTACCCCGTCCTACCACCGCCCCCCCGCCATATAACCTGCTTTGATCGGAGAGTAGAGACCAGTCGTTTTCCCCGGACCGCCCCATCCCCCAGCGGGACTGCCGGCGGATGAACGCGCGCACAGCTTTCCTCGCGGGGCTGATGCGTTTCCCGAAATCGCTGTAAAACTCTCAACTCCGAGCCCGCATTGCAAACCCCGGCTTCTTCCCTTTGCCTCGGAAATTGGGGAAAACGTAGAATGAAAAGCCCGACCACTCGCTCCCTGCCTTGAGAGGCCAGGCGAGCCGGGGCGCGGGGCCCTGAGCCGACGGTCCCCGCGTCCCTCCACGTGTCCCCGGCGCACGGGCGCACACCCTTGTGCTGGGGGCCGACCCCAGCCCGGCTTCCCGCTCCCCGCGCGCTCCCTACCCGGCGTCGCCGGCGGTCCGAGCAGCAGCAGCAGCAGCGCGGGGAGGGCGCCGACTCCGCAGCCCCGGAGCTGCCCCGACATGGCCCGACCTCGGCCGCGCCCCCGCCGGCCTCCTCCCGGGCTCACCCCGGACGCGACGCCCCGCCGCTCGCGCGCTCAGATGTCCACTGCCCGGGAGCAGGCGGCGGGCGCAGCTCCGAGACCGGCCGCCCCGCGAGCCGCATTCGCTTTCGCTTTTGCTTTAGCCCCCGAGGGCTGGAGAGGTGAGAAGCGGTGACAGACCCGTGACTCAGCATCCCCACCCCCTCCCCTGGAAAAAGACCCTATGACCCCCGCGCCGCCGCCCGGTCCCCGCAACGCCACCGGCAGCGCGGGACGGGGACCCGGACTGTGCCCTGAGGAGGCCCGGGGTCCTCCCCGGCTTTGCCCTTCTCGCCCCTGGTGACCCCATCAGTCCATTCCGTCGTGTGTCCCCGCGACGAGTGGGAGAAGCTTTCGGGAAGCAGACTAGTTCCCGTAAACACGGCCGGTGGGCGTCACACCTGGCTTCGGCTCCACTCGGTCACCTCGCCTCGCTTGTCTCTGCCTGTTGCTCCGACTTCGAAGGTCCTGGACCAGGAGCTGGCGAACGAGTTGCCGCGCGTCCCGCTGGTCTGGGCCGGTGACGCTGAGTGACAGCGGGGATATCGCCGCGGCGCGGCTGGCCCGGTCACCTGACCGGTGCGCCCAGGCCCAGACCGGGAACGAAGCCCAGGCCGCCTGTCCCGAACCTTGCCTGGCTCCCGGCACGGCCACTTTTCTTACTCCTGCTGCATCTTTCTTCCCCAAGAACATTTAAACTATTTGAAGCGGGCGTGGGAGGGAGGACCGACAGTTATTCACCTCTGTGCCTTAGACGATTCGGCTAGCTGCTGCTTTGCAGGTGGCGTTTTTTCTTTCTTGGGATCTCCAGTTAAGCCTGACATTATTGAGAAGCGAGTGTGCAGTGAGAAAGCTCGGGACGCACAATCAGAAATCCCCAGTTCTGGGAGTGAAATTAGGCAGGATGGGTCGTCTCTGGGCTCGGGTCTCCATCTGTTCTCCAGTGGTAACATCCTGAATAACTCCAGTACAACAGCACAGGCAGGGAATGTCATTGGTGCAACCCCCAGACCTTACGCAGATTTAGTCCGTTTTCCGTGCACTCAATGGAGCGTGTGTATTCAGTTCTGGGCACCACACATCACATATGTAGGTGTCTGTGACCACCACTGTCAAGACGGGGAACAGTTATCAAAAGCATCCCTCCCACTACTACTCTTTTAGTCACAGCCACCTTCCACTCTCACCTTCTCCCTAAGCCTTAGCAACCACTGATCTTTTCTCCATCTCTGTAATCTTGTCATTTGAATAATGTTATGTAAATGGATCATACAGTTTGTAACCTGTAGAGGTCAGCTTTGTTCACTCAGTATAATTCCCTTGAGATCCATTCAAGTTGCTATGCGTCAGTAGTTTGTTCCTTTTTATGAGCAGTACTGATGGTTTCTTCTTTTAGAAACATGTGAATCTCTGCCATCCACACCCAAACAGCCCTGTGCTTTTGTATGTGTATTCTTTTGCTAGGGCTGCCTTAACAAAGTACCAAGAACTAGGTGGCTTAATGACAGCAGGAATTGGTCCTCTGATCTTCTGGAGGCCAGGAGTCCGAGATCCAGGTGTCTGCAGGGCCATGCTCTCTTGGACGGCACCAGGGGAAGATCCTTCCTTGCTTCTTCTAGCTTCTGGTGTTTGCCGGCAATTCTTGGTGCTCCTGCGTGTGTAGGTGCGTCACTGCAGTTACGTGGCTGGCTTCTCCCTGTGTCTTCACCTCGTCTTCCCTCTGTGTCCAAATTTCTCCTTTTTATATGGACACCAGTCGTATTGGATTAGGACCCACCCTAATCCTAATGACCTCATTTTCACGTGGTGACCTCTTAGAGACCCTATTTCCAATAAGGTGACATTCTGGGTTAGTGGGGCTTAGGACTTCAACATATCTTTTTGGGGTGACACACTTCCACCTATAACAATATGGTATATTTATTTCTGAGAACAAAGTCCAAGACCTGTTTTCTCAGGCCAAAGGAACTGACCTGGATGCAGAAGAGTTGGATCCCTGCGGTACAGTGTCCACACCTCAAGGGTGACTCAGATGGGAGCTTGTTTGGGGCCGTCAAATAAGAGGGTCGCTTACAGGGCTGGGGAGCTTGGTCAGCAGCCACCACTCAGGGCAAAGCTGGAGTTGAGGACAGGGCTGTGGGGTCAGGAGAGATGATACCTGGGAGCTGGGTCTTCAGCCATCGGCTGTCCTCTGGAGGGGAGCAGACAGTGAACCCTCAGGATGGGAGGGTAACGTGTCACACTGGGCCACCAAGAAGGGGAGGCTATGGATCAAGGCTAATGGATTATTCCCCAACCCATTCTCCTCTTCCTCCTTCTTTAGAATCTTAACTTTTTAAAGTAAGATATAATTCCTATAACAGTAAATTCACCACTTTATAGAGTGTAATTCAGTGGTTTTTATTCATGACATTGTATAACTATCACCACTATCGAATTCCAGAATAATTCCATCACCCCAAAAAGAAACCCAGGGCCTGTTAGGAGTTCCTCCCAATTTCCCCCCTTCTTAGTTGCTGGTAACTTCAAATCTACTTTCTTTCCCCATGGATTTGACTATTCTCAATATTTCACAGGAATGGAATCAGACGATATGTCCTTCTGTGTCTGGTTTCTTTCACTCAGTGTAATTTTTTTCAAGGTTCATCCATGTTGTAGGGTGTAGCAGTACTTTATTCCTTTCTATGACTGGATAATATTCCATTAAATAAATATTTCACATTTTGTTTATTCATTCACCAGTTCATGGATATTTGAGCTGTTTCCAACTTTTAGCTGTTAGGAATAATACTGCTACGAACATTCATGTACAGGCTTTTGTGTGAACATATGTTTTCAGTTCTCTCGGGTGTATGCCTAGGAGTGGGATTGTTGGGTCACATGGTAATTCTCAGATTCTTGAAGGACAGCATGAAGACTCGGGGAGCCTTTTAGGAACCAGACACAGCTGGTTCCCAGACTGGGGGCGATCATTCCACTGCTCACCAAAGGATAGTGTCCTTGGCTTTGGGAGATGCTGACTTAGGAGCTAAGGCAATATAAGTCTGTAGGCATCAGCTCGTGGGCACCTAGCTGCTGCTGCCAACCTGGGGGCACCGAGGCAGTAAAACGAGACAGAGGGACCCAGAGAAAACTAGTCCACTCACAGGAGGAGTTGTGCTGAAGAGCAGAAAGACAAATGTTGACTGTAAGGGGAAGGAATTGCTTCTCAATCCTCAAAGTATAAAAAATACCACATTTTCTTATTTTTGTAAATCTTCCTATCTGGCTCCAAGCTTCCACTTGCCAAGATCAACCCAAATCTGATATCGCTCTCGCCCCATCCTCCAAAGGCAAATGGCTGTCTTCCCTTCCCATGGATTTTGCCAGGAAAAATAGAGAGAGGCCTCTGTCACCTCTGTCTTCTTGGTTATTTCTGGGTGGTCGTTGTCCAAACCCACCCTCCGGCCTCTGGTCTCAGCAGACCTACCTGACCCCCTTTTTTGCACAGCCTCACAGACAATCTAGTCAGATTCTTTCAATTAGCCAAGGTCTTTGTCCAGAAAAGGCCTATTTGGGTCCACCTCCCTGTTACTCTGCAATCAAATAAACAAACACCAAACAAATACATAATCTGTAAACTGCATCCCTCGGGTGGGAGAGCCCCACACTGTAGAATACAAAATCTTGTCTGCTCTTGGGGAAAATCACCCCTTACTTTCTTCCCTGTGATAAGTAGCAAAAATCTCCAAGAGACCAATCCATTTCTTTCCTTTTTTTTTTTTTTTTTGTGGTATGCGGGCCTCTCACTGTTGTGGCCTCTCCCGTTGCGGAGCACAGGCTCCAGATGCGCAGGCTCAGCGGCCATGGCTCACGGGTCCAGCTGCTCTACAGCATGTGGGATCTTCCTGGACCGAGGCACGAACCCGTGTCCCCTGCATTGGCAGGCAGACTCTCAACCACTGCGCCACCAGGGAAGCCCCCAGTCCATTTCTTGATAACTCAGTTATATTCATTTGCAGCCTCATAGCCATAATTTAATCACGTTTAGTTGAAAAATTAAGCGATGAAATGGATTTTGAATCTTAAATATTTAAACATGTCAGAGTAGTGTGTGTTTAACAACTATTTAAAGTTTATTTTTTAACTCAGAGTTGTTTTGGAACTTTTTTTAATTGAGGCAACATGATTTATAACGTAAGTTTTATTTGTAAAACATTATATTTCTACTTCTGTCTACCGTACAGCGTGCTCACCACCAAACATTTAGTTTCCCTCTGTCACCATATAGCTGATCCCCTCTACCCATTTTGCCCTCCCCCCATCCCTTCCCCTGTGGTAGCCACTATTCTGTTCTCTGTATCTATGTGTTTGTTTTTGTTTGATTTGGCTTGGAACTTTTACTCTTTAATTGACTTTGAAACCACATTCTCTCCAGTTCTGCATATATGGGAATAACAGGACCCACACCACAGGGTGGTTGTGAAAATCAGACGAGTTAACAAAAGCATTTTGAACAGTGCCCCACATATAACAAATGCTCAATAAGTGTTACATATATGGTACGCAATGTGTAATATATAATATATTGTCCTTTGTAAATTACTTCAGATGATTGTAGAGAAAGTTATCAGCTAAAAATGTTAAGTACAAGCTAGGGGTGGAGAAAGGGTTAGGAGAAACGTTATATCTGATACTAAGCCGAGCCAGCTGCCAAGGCGGGGACCAGACGTGTGGAGAAGCCGAGCTGATGTAATGGATTAAGAATATGCAGGTTATGACCTGCTGAACGAGGCAGCAGCAGTCACTCACAGGGTGTCGGCAGGCAGCTTTCTCAGCATCCCAGCTCCCGCTTTGGGGAAGCGAAACCCACGGGGGTCGTTTTGATTGAAGGTGAAGTTTCAATACACCCACACAAAGGAAGTAGAGTCATAGACTGATTATTACTTAGGATCCCAGAAGCGAGGGGGCGCAGTGACCCTGGGGGAAAATCAGTCCTCCGTCCCAGGTGGCTGCAAGCAGGAGATGGAGAGCAGGGTAGCGAGCACCTGTTATTTACAAGGTGCTTCACTAACTTTTCACAGACTTCACTGTAAGGCGTTATTTTAAAAGGTGCCCGAGGAAAAGCAAAGCGGGAACTTATGGCGGCATCCTCAATTCAAGTCTTTATCTAAATGTCCAGACTCTGGGTGTGAGTAAGGTTATCATAGTGTAAAATACCTCAGCAGTAACTCAGAAGACAAAGTTGTTTTTCTCAATAGTTACTTATTATTATTTTTTTCTCCCTCCTCATCGCACCAAAGCACCAAGAAGATAGACAGGGAGGGCATCCCTGGTGGCGCAGTGGTTGAGAGTCCGCCTGCCGCTGCAGGGGACACGGGTTCGTGCCCTGGTCTGGGAGGATCCCACATGCCGCGGAGCGGCTGGGCCCGTGAGCCATGGCCGCTGAGCCTGCGCGTCCGGAGCCTGTGCTCCGCAACGGGAGAGGCCACAACAGTGAGAGGCCCGCGTACCGCAAAAACAAAACAAAACAAAACAAAACAAAGGAGATAGACAGGGAGGCCCCATGAACAGATGGTGAGGATAGAAACTCCATCCTGGGTGGAAGTTCCAACAGCTGGGACCAATATTCCCACTTGTGCTGTCACTTCCTACAGCAAGACAACAGCCAACTAAGATGATAAACTTGTAAAGCAAACTTCCCCGAGCTGAATCAGCTTTGTGTTCCACTTTCAGTTACACCAGGAGAATCCCCTACTGACCCTCGTTCACCCAAGATCCCAATTCGACCTGTCACCCTGGGAGCTCTTCCTTAAATCTGCCCCTCCTCTCCTGCCCCCAGCCCGGCCTCTTCTTCCTCCCTTATCTCATCGCTGGTGAGGAGGGCTTGAGGAAGAAGAACAGCTTTCATGAGCCTCCTGCTTTCTCCTTTGTTCTTTAGTTCATCCATAAATAACTCAGGATAAATCCAAGGAAGAAAGTGACAGAACCTTAGGGTTTTAAAAATGCAAACCCATGATTTATCCTGGAATCTCAAACCCAAATGCCCTTAAGGACCCGAGGGCGGGTTGGTGGGCGTGAGAGGAAGTGAGCTGAAAGCTCTTGCAGACTACGGGACTAGTGTGTGTCCAGTGCCACTAGAGTTTTAATTTTTGAAGAAACATTGGAAATATAGGTCCTTGTGTGATATCTCCTGGTTTGCAAATAGTGACTATTGCTTTAGGAAAAAATCAAAACACCATGCAAGCCCAAGAAAGCCCATTCATACGCTTTGCAACATCTAATATGTAGTAATCTTTTTATGCAGACAACTACTCAAAGTATTTTGATTCCTCCACTATGCTAGAAATTCGAAATATTAATTTATTGGAATGAGTTTGGTTCACGAATTTTAAAATCTTCAATCTATGACCAATCACAGTAGGTGACCCATGACCTCTTGGAACATTTTGCAAAAGTTTTTTGAGCATGCTCTTTTCTGCAGAAAAGACCCATAACTTTCATTAGTGTTTGTTTCAAAAGGATCCTTGACCTAAAATATTAAGAATAAAATACCTACAAGTTATAATATTTTATAGACATTGTAATTTTTTTAATGTAAGAACTTATAGATTCTGAGTTGAAAGATAAGGTATTTATGAACCTAAAACTCTTACTGATTTCTTTGGGTTAGAGTTATTGTTAGTGTCATTTCTTTCTCTTTTTCTTTTTTTTTTGCAAAATGATTTCTCCAGATATGTTATAAAAAAATGTAAGAAACATCTTAATAGTTACGAAGATTGGAAATAACCTGAATGTCCATCAACAGGAAAGTACATACAAGTGAATATAATGCAGTTGTAAAAAAGTTCTCTTTCTACGAATGTGGAAAGATCTCCAAGATATATTGTTTAGAAGACAAATAACCAAACAATATGCAAAACTATGTATAGTATGCTGCCTTTTATGTCAGAAGGGAGAAAATAAGAATATATTTATATTTTCTAGTATTAACACACATATTTGATAACACCCTGGAAAAGCACACAAGAAAGCAATAAATGTGCATTCCTATGGAGGTGGTAACTGAATAAATGGGACATGGGATGAAGGGGGGATGCTTCAATGTATACGTTTAGTTTTACCCTTTTTTCCATATTTTTGAAACATCTATTCTTTTAAAAATATTAATTAATTAATTAATTAATTTATTGGCTGCGTCGGGTCTTAGTTGCAGCACGCAAGATCTTCTTTGGGGCATGCAGAATCTGTCATTGCGGCGCATAGACTCCTCTCTAGTTGTGGTGTGTGGGCTGCAGAGCACGTGAGCTCTGTATTTTGTGGCACGCGGGCTCTCTCGTTGAGGTGCACGAGCTCAGTAGTTGTGGTGCACGGGCTTAGTTGCCCTGCAACATGTGGGATCTTAGTTCCCCGACCAGGAGTGGAACCTGCGTCCCCTGCATTGGAAGGCGGATTCTTGACCACTGGACCACCAGGGAAGATCCATATTATTTATTCTAAAAACTAAATTTAAAAAGTCTCATGACGACCTTAAACATCCTGTTTTCAAACAGGAGTTTTTAGCTCATGGGTAATATTAAGAAATTGAAACAAGGCAAGCCAACAGCTTTGATATGGTTTTGCAGGTATACTTTCCAGTGAAAGTTTACTTTGGCCATTTTATTAGGGATACTTCTAGTGTAAAGTATAGTATACTTCTAGTATAAAGTAGCCATTTTAAATAAGAATCCTGAAGTAAACAGGCTTCTAAAATGAGAATGTTTCCAAAATAACTAACCAATAAGAGATTTAAAATCTGGCATTCTGGTAGACCAGAAAGGCTCAATTAGGCAAGATTATTCATCCCTAAAAGATAGTTCATCTCTTCCAGATCGACTCTTTACACACTATTCCAAAACCAATAGACATTTTTTTTTGTTTGCTGATGTAGTTGCAAAAAAAAACAACAACAACAACAAAAAACTGAAAACAGAGATGTGCTTTATATCTTGTCACTTGATTTAAATGGCCTTAAAAGGAAGGAATGTGTCATTCTTCACCCTTCCTCTTTCTTGCTGGCTGAAATGCAGACATAATGACTGGAGCTCCAGCAGTCATATTGAGCCATGAGGACTCTCAAAACTAGGAGCCACAAGCCACCCATAGAGTAGAGCTAAGATGGAAAGAACCTGGGTCCCTGACACCAGGAGGACCAAAGCAGCTTGGACTGTCTCCCTTTGAATTTGTTGAACCTGAAAGAGAAATAGACATCTACCTTGTTTGTCATTTCTACTTTTGATTTTTTTCTTACAACTGAACTTATCCTAACAATACACCTAAAAAGAGAAACTATGTTCCAGATAGGCTTGGGTTTTTTCCCTTATAGATTTTCTTTTCATTAGCCCTGGTATTTTCATTTCCTGATGCAAGGAAAAACATTTAGTATACTCTTTATTTTCATCAATTTTGAGATACTATTAAGCCTATTTTGACATCTTCATTACCCTTTTGTGATTTAAAATAAATTTTATTATATTTCATTTATAAAAAACATAAAATTATGTTGTATTTTTAAAGAAAAAAGAGTCTGTTATTATTATACATTAACTTAATAATCAAATTTATAATATAACTAAAAGAACATTGATAAGGTTATAAGATGTGTAAGATTATTCTAATTATTCTCTTATCATCTGAGCCTTCCACAAGTTGTAGTAGTAACATCAAAGATCACTGATCACAGATCACCATAACAAATATAATAATAAGGAAAAGATT